TATAAGAAAACTATGTATGAAATGCCTTCAAAGAGTACCCTTTCAGAGTTGAGGCAGCTGATTTTCAATGAAGTTACTTTATAGAGAGCTTTGACAGCAAGAACGAAGTCTGAAACACAGGTCTGGGTGAAAGAGCAGATAGACTGTTGATCAAAGTAGAAAACAAAGACAAATAGGATAGCAGCCTTGTTATCAGAGCTACCCCTTTATAAACACACACTAATTTTATGATTAAATTCACCAAAAAGGTCCTAAGAAATGTTTCAACTGTTCTTCATAAAAGAGCCCTCTGGATGGCAACAAAATTTATGTAGAGAAACTACATAATACAAGCCCAGCAAATTAATAGCTTATTCCTGGTTAATCCTAGTACCTGTACACACATACACACACATATACACACACACACACACACACACACACAGGCACCCACAAGCCAAGTAGAAAGGCACACATGGATAAAATTGACAGTTAAAAAGTCCAATGAACATTTACAAGGAAGAAAGAAGCTACAGGAGAAAGACAAAAGGACAGCCATCCTAATTCCACTTTACTCCTTCACTTACCCTTAAACTGCTCCCTAGCAATTTTTATCATCACAAACACACTTCCTGAGGTATTCCAACTGGATAAAATGGAACAGTTAAGACTAGGATTCTGTTGAACTGAATCTCACCACACCCTGGGGTACCTCTCAAGATAAATATGTGTATGGGGAATAGTCACTCAAGGGTAAATGTGGCATTGGAGTCTTTGGGAAGTGCTCCTGCCTATGTCCAGATAAAGAATAGCACAGCACCTGAGTGAATATTTTGTCTGCCTTAAGTGGAAGAAAGGAAATAGAAAATTCCTCCTGTTCTCCCCAACTGTTTAGTGCCTATGAATATCAGTGCACAGAATTCAGTGATACTTTAAAGGATAAAAATGAAAAGAAAAATAGTTCGGGTCTATCATTTCAATCTCCTAACAAAACTTTTGTATACCTTTAGTGGTCGCTACACACAGAACCAGATGATAGCATAATAAAACTGCCCTCAAAAAATATGTTGCAGCATATACAGCAACTTCCTAAACAGTAAGTATACTATCAAATGTTACAAATAAACTGAACCTTCTTTTGAGGGCAAAAAAAGGTCAATGATGTTTCTCTTCAATTCCAAAAAGATACAGTTAACACTCTGAGTACATAATTCTCCATGTAAAGTTAAGAGTATCTGAAACAGGTGACTCAGTGGCAAAGAATCCACCTGCCAAGCAGGAGATGAAGGTTCCATCTCTGGGTCAGGTGGATCTCTTGGAGAAGGAAATGGCAACCCACTACAGTATTTTTGCCTGGAAAATCTCATGGACAGAGGAACCCAGGCTATAGTCCTTGGGGTCGCAAAGAGTCAGACACAATTTAGCAACTAAACCAATACCCTTTGAAACATAGTAGGTAATAAAGAAAAATACTTGGTTGTCTGATTATAAGGAAGAGATGAAAGTTAACTGCCTTCAACAAGATCAAAATCTAAGGAAAGGGATATGCGACATACTCATGTATGCAGCAGCAGCAGCTTATATACATAGGAATCAGTGACTAGGATTCTAGGCAAGCTGATACACGCCTGTAAGCAATGGGAAACTACTGAGAAAGTTAACTGAACACTCCCTACTCTACATATATTATCAGCATCTAGAACTGCACCTCAAGGTAACACATTCCTAAAATAAGCAATCTTTGAGCACTTTGGAGGTCAGTTTCCAAGTATGGACTGAAGAAGAAAGACTCAGAATGGGGATTACAAAATCAATTGTTTATAGGGGCTAGTATAAAGTGGAAACAAATGGAAGTGCACCTACTGGGGCCTGATTGAGGCAAACTACAAAAAAAGACCCATTCTATTTAAGGGAGACAAGCACCTAGGCAAGTCTAGCTGATTGCTGCCATGCAGAAATGAGAACACAATGTTGCCAGCTGTCCCAGTTCTTCAATAGAAAGTAACATTTGGATTTTGTTAACTATTCTGAAAATGTTAAATACTGTGCAAGGCCAAGAAGGTATGTCTAATAATCCACATTCTGCCTAAGGGCTGAGAATTTGCAACCTTGGGTTTAAATGTTAAGAGCTAGGTTACACATAAGAGATGGAGGTGACAGACAGACTGGTAAAATATATTAGGCCTCGCTGGAGTGGAGTATTAGAATAGGAACGTAGTATACTACAAATACAGATGGGCAGCAGAGAGTTAATTGTTAATATTCTTTGAAATCAAGAATCCAGGAGCGAAGTGCAAGTAGATTGAGTTTCTCAAAACCTAGAAGCAAGTCTCAATTTAGCAATGTCTGGCTCACTAAAGGACTCTCAAAAGATAGCTGAACTCAATGAATTGAAGACCATACATATCAATTTAAAACTGAGAGTCTAAAGAATGGTTCTAAGTGGAAATTTTTCATAGACAGGAATTTTTAAAGATTAAACTAGGGGAAAAGGTTAAAAGCAAAGAAGTTAGTTGTGTTCCAGAGACCAAATCAAAGAGAGGTAGGATGAATCTGGACAAAGACGTTAGCAAAAACAAGTAACAGGAAATACAGAGAACAAACAAAAAGGATTTTGCAACCAAAAACTATGAAACAGGAAAAGAAGACTTTGGAAGGAATTTAATCTGGGTCACATTCATATTTTCTTAACTCTAACATGATCATTTTAATGTTTCTGAAATCAGGGTGATACTTACAAATCAATGTCATTTCTCCATGCACTTTTCTCAAGAAAAAAAAAAGTTCTAGAAAGCAACAATGAATCTTATAATTAATGACATCTCTGAATCACGGAAATGTGACATGTGTAGCAGTTCTCCTTTCTGTATAATATAAAATTTAAAAGGGAGCAAGGAGCAGATCTGAAGTGGCCTAAAGGTAAATGATGCCAATCAGAAATGATGAGAACTCTAAATGAAAAGGAACAGCATAAAGACTTGACCAACCCTAGAAGGTATCCAACAGAAGACAGCCAGAACAGCTTAAAAAAAAGGAAAAGTCTACCAGTGCTTCACAAAGAGTCTACGCAAGAAGAGAATAAAGAGAGATGTATAAAACCACAGTGAAAGCTGTCAATGACAATGATTGGCCCATTCCTAATGAAGATACAAGAGGTAGAGCTTTTTTTTTTTTTTAAATAAGGGGACCAGGTTGACAGCAAGAAGTAAAAAGCAAAAAGTAAAATGCCAACTAAAAGGAAGGTTATGGTGAAGAATAAAAAAAGATTAACAGTTTATCGTTCACCAGGGAAGACAGCCAGTTGTTAGGTAAAGGGATAGCTAGAATTTAAGAATAGGTAATATTCTTTTATAATCTTCCTAATTTAAAAAAATCTACTAATTCTTAAAAGCTCTCTCACAACTCTCATCTTCCCTTCTACGCTAATACTCAGAAAACAAGCACAGACTAATAAAACAGAAAAAGCACATAACCTGTCAGGAAGTTACCTGCCTGACAACCTCAAATCCCTGCTCTGTAGCCAAAATAAACAACAAAATCCATACTCTAAAGTTCACCGCTTTATATGGAATAGGCTCTCAGATATTTCTCATTCAAACTGTAAATAGCCTTGGTTATCTATCTAGTTTCATAAAAGATTAGAAGAAGCAAATAATATTAGGAGGGAGCTAGAGAATGTAAGTATACCTGATATCATTAAGAGATGACAGCTAATACGGAAACAAGAAAATTGGCTATAAAAGATTCAACAACTTCAATACTGCCATCTCAAACCATTAGCTGTAGAGGGCAAATCATACTACATACCTCAATAATCCTAAGGCATCACCAAACAATAACTTTTCACATGATTATCTGAGTGCTCAAAAAAGATCATATTAAGGGTTCTGAACACTCAGTCCACAAATAATTTAAGATGGATAAAACATTTTTTAAAACTCATGTAAGGTATAACTACTTTGAAAACAAAACTGCCTATTTTAAAATCCAGAACTAAAAGCACAGACCCTATTTTTGTCTTTGAAAAACATGGGCAGTGATAGAGAAGCAAGAAACTTAAGACAAAAAAAATCTCTGAATAACATGTCGGCATGAAAGGCAAAAGATGACAGAACACAAGCAGGCAAGAAGGTCTATGTTTACATGCTGGCCATGTCAGGTAATCTCTCTGTCACTCCCTTCTACTTAACCTCTTAAAAGTCTCAGTTTCTTCCCCTGTAAAATGCAGATACCACCATCACCTATAAGGTACTTTTAAAAAAGTGATTAATCATCCAGAGAAGATGGGAATGAGCAGTGGAGAGAAAGCCAGATGTTTTTAAACATATCCTGGTGCTTTAAAAAAGAAAAAAAAAGGCATGACTAATCAGCAAGCTTAAAATGAAAACAGCTCAAAAATAACCATGAATCTTGTTTCACATCTTTACCCAAAGGCCTGAGCATTATATTTAGGTGAAAAACTACAGTTGTGTCTTGCAAAAATGAATCTAGTTTCTTCAACATTATCATATCTCATTTTGTATTTCTATCTTTAAATGAAAAAGAGGTGAGAGAACACTCACCTTGATTGAAAGTCTTCATTATCTGTGCTTGTCCGAGGACTTATGAGTAGATGACAAATTAAGGGAAAACAACTTTTCGGGGGGTAAAAAGAATCGTGTCTCATCTTTTAGTACAACCCCTCAGCCTGCAGGCCTAACTGACTCTTGCCAGCCCGGCAGTCTCAGACTCTACCAGCTCTGCCCATCTGCAGCAGCATCTTGCCCTGCTAGTCACCATGCCGCCAGCCCAAGGGACTCTGTCTCCTTTCTTCCTCTTGGTGGGAGAGCCAGAGGGACTTTAAATCCCTTGGTGGCATAAAACAACCTCAGTTACCAAAGAAGTTTAAGAAAACAATCAAGTCTCCCATTTCCATGTTTTATACATTTGAGAGGGTTAACTAGAGAGACCATTTAAAAGATAGTAAGCCCTTAAGCATTTAGACACATAGTACAAGGCTACAATCCTAAGTAAGATCAGTATCAAAGTTTTCCATTATACTGATTAAAAACATCAAGAAGATGAAAAGGATATTGTTTCTTCTCTTCCTTTCCTCCTGAACTGTCCCGTTTCTCTTTCTTTTCTATCTTTTCTTTATCATGCCTGGACTCCTATAATGAATGGTGGAATTAGTTGAAGGGAAAACCAAATATAAAAATCAGCTTAAAATCCCTTTCATCACCCACCAGACATTAATTTTTCTTCAGAGTTATTTACTATAACACCAAAAGCACAAGCAAAACAAAACTGGACTTCATCAAACGTAAAAACTTGTATGCATCAAAGAACACTATCAAGAAAGTGAAAAGACAACCTACAGAACAGGAGAAAATATTTGCATATAGGTATCTCATAAGTGTCTAATATCAAGACTACATAAAGAATTCTTACAACTGAGCAACAAAAAGACAAACAATACAATTTTTAAAATGGCCAAAGCATCTAAATAGATTTTTTCAAAAGATATACAAATGGCCAACAAGTACATGAAAAGGTGCTCAACGTCATTAGTCATTAAGACAACACAAAATCAAAATGACAGTGAGATACTAATTCACACCCACTAGGATGGCTACAGTAAAAACAAATAAATAAAACAGAAACAGAAAATAACAAGTGTTGGCAAGGATGTAGGGAAATTGGCACTCTCATATATCGCTGGTAGAAATGTAAGCTGTGCAGCCACTATGGAAAACGATTTGGTGGTTCCTCAAAAAGCTAAACAGCATTACCATATAACCCAGATATTTCATTCCTGGGTATATACACAAGATCACTGAAAAAAGATATTCAAACAAATAATTCATAGTAGCACACAAATATTCATAACAGCACAACTGACAACAGCCAAAGGTGGAAAACAGGACAAAAGTCCATCAACTGATGAATGGATAAGCAAGTGTTGTATATTCGAACAATGGAATATTATTTAGCCATGAAAAGAAATGAAGTACTGATACATGCACCACCATGAATAATCTCAAGAAGATTACACTAAGTGAAAGAAGTTAGAGACAAAAGGCCACATTATTATACAGTTCCACTTATAGGAAATAGCCAGAGTTTTTGATAAGCTCATAAACAGTTCATAGAGACAGCAAGCAGATACAGAGTTGTGAAAGGCTAAAGGGAGGGGGAAATGGGGAATGACTTGATGAGTATGTGGTTTCCCTCTGGGGTGATGAAAATGTTCTGGAACTAGACAGAGATGATGAGTACAAAACACTGTAAATATATTAAATGCCACTGAATGATATACTTTAAAATGGTTAATTTTATGTTATGTGAAATTTTACCTCAGTTTAAAATGCTTAAAAAGGCGCAGCCTCCCTTTTAAAACCATCACCTTATGATTTTGAAAAACTGCTTTTAAGAACTATGAATATATGGCATATATGTTGACTAAATATAATGATGCTTTGTAAACACTTAAGTAATGACTTGCTTACTTTATGACAGATGCATGGGATATATTCTGAGTATTATCCATTAGTATCTAAGAGAATGCACACTACACTTAATTTTAAAATCAAATATAAGATGTAAACATAAGTTTATTAGGAGGAAATGTTATAAAAGTGTGTTGAAAAATGAGAAAGACCTTATAACAGTGTAATGATCAGGGAGAATACATGTGACCACATTTTATTTTATTTTTTTTCCCCATTTTTATTTTTTTTTTTTTGATTGGCTTGTTTTTATTTATTTATTTATTTATTTTTAATAGTTGGAGGCTAATTACTTTACAATATTGTAGTGGTTTTTGTCATACATTGACATGAATTAGCCATGGATTTACATGTATTCCCCATTCCGATCCCCTCTCCCACCTCCCTCTCCACCCGATCCCTTTGGCTCTTCCCAGTGCACCAGTTCCGAGCACTTGTCTCATGCATCCAACCTGGGCTGGTGATCTGTTTCACCCTAGATAATATGCATGTTTCGATGCTGTTCTCTTCAAACATCCCACCCTCGCCTTCTCCCACAGAGTCCAAAAGTCTGTTCTATACATCTGTGTCTCTTTTTCTGTTTTGCATATAGGGTTATCGTTACCATCTTTCTAAATTCCATATATATGTGTTAGTATACTGTAATGGTCTTTATCTTTCTGGCTTACTTCACTCTGTATAATGGGCTCCAGTTTCATCCATCTCATTAGAACTGATTCAAATGAATTCTTTTTAATGGCTGAGTAATATTCCATGGTGTATATGTACCACAGCTTCCTCATCCATTCGTCTGCTGATGGGCATCTAGGTTGCTTCCATCTCCTGGCTATTATAAACACTGCTGCGATGAACACTGGGGTGCACGTGTCTCTTTCAGATCTGGTTTCCTCGGTGTGTATGCCCAGAAGTGGGATTGCTGGGTCATATGGCAGTTCTATTTCCAGTTTTTTAAGAAATCTCCACACTGTTTTCCATAGCGGCTGTACTACTTTGCATTCCCACCAACAGTGTAAGAGGGTTCCCTTTTCTCCACAGCCTCTCCAGCATTTATTGCTTGTAGACTTTTGGATAGCAGCCATCTGACTGGCGTGTAATGGTACCTCATTGTGGTTTTGATTTGCATTTCTCTGATAATGAGTGATGTTGAGCATCTTTTCATGTGTTTTTTAGCCATCTGTATGATGTGACCACATTTTAATCTCATGACCAAAGAGAAACTACTGAATCTCTGAATTGTTGTCAGAGAAAAAAGAAAACACGCTAAAACACACTGAAACTCAATGACAAGAAGTAGGTGTGAGTGGAATGGAGAGGAAAGGAAATTCAGAAGTAATCTAATTCTACCCTCCCAGCAATTTGGGACTAAACCGCTTCAAGTTCTCCAAGAAAACCTGCCCTCCTCCAAAACCTCCTCTTCCCACCCTCAAATAATTAACAGAAGACTATTTGACTACAAAAAAAACCCTGCAATATTGGCTAAATTTTCTAATGGGAGATTTTCTAAGAAAATTTTTCATTGTTCCTTTTGTTCTCATAATTTACCTTTTTGCCACCAGAGGAGATTTTATCCATCTTTTCAGATTTAAATGAGTCGCCGCCTTTTTCTTTGCCTGAAGATTTTGACTTATTTTTTTCCTTGTCTTTCTCATTTGGATAAGGAGACTCACATGGACTTTCACTTTTGTGTTTTGAAACCCCCACTAAAATTATAAAAGAGAATCATGAAAGCCTTTTTCAATTCAGTTTGATGACTACTTGGAAAGTATTAATAGGTCTACCTACTTGTTCCATTTTCCTCTTTCCGCCTCTTGGTTAAGTCCGGTGGCACTTCTCGGTCATTGTTTGAGTGATCCTAGAACCAAGAATTGTGAACTACGTTGATTGAAAGTTTTTGTTTTAAAGTACTACTTTTCTACAAGAAGAGCACAGCTAACTAGCATTGGAGAATATCTGCAGTAGTTTCACATACTTGGTAAAATGACATGATAGGCAAGAAGAGCTGGTAGAGATTACTAGGCTGAAGATTCTTATAACTGTAGAAGATTCAAACACACTTTAGGGTGAAAATACCAGTTAAACACCAAATAATAGACTGTCATGCAACAAACTAGTACTTTAGATAAGGCAACAGACACTACTGTACATGATAATGAACTTTCCAAACTAGTTTTTAAAAAATTACAAACCCTTTTCCGCTCTTTCCTGTCCTTTTCATCTTTTTTTTCTCTTTCTCTGGATCTTTCCCTTGACTTGTCCAAATCTTTCTTGTCCATTTCTCTCTCCTTACTCTTGGACAGTGGTGGAGGAGTATGATTAATGTAGAGCTGTTAAATTAAGGCAATATTACTAAAGATTATTAGTTTTCCAGTATTGACATCATTTGCTCGATTGTTTATTTAATGAAAGACATTTGGTAGTAGACCCAAAGTCAAAACTGGTCAGCTGCATGGATTATGAGAGGTAAAATAAAAGGGCATGGCACAAATTATGCAAAGACTTCAATTCTTGACCTTGTAAATGTTTATCATTTAAACTCAACCAGTTCACTCCTCCCTCAACTGAGATTTTTATTATTAAATTCACAAGCTACAGTTCCTTATATAGTTCTACTGTGAAGACCTATAGCTACCATCATTACAAGAGTTCATGTGTCAAAAATAGTTCCTGGACTTTCTCTACTATTAAAAAAAAAACTCTACACAATCCTAGAAATTTTAAAAAGTTTTACCATTCACTGATAAGCAATTGATGACAGTGAGGAAAGTATAATATAAAACTTAGCCATGACTTTACTAATAAGTCTTTTCTGCCTCAGTATAAGTCATGAATAGATTATCCTTTAATCACTGTTATAGTAAAGGCTGCATATTCTCTACTTCTGAGAGCACTCCAGTTTCTGTAAAATAATCACAATTGATTGTAAAATTTGTCTTGTGCTGTGCTGTGTTTAGTCGCTCAGTCGTCTCCAACTCTTTGAGACCCCCTGGACTGTAGCCCTCCAGGCTCCTCTGTCCATGGGACTCTCCAGGCAAGAACACTGGAGTGGGTTGCCATGCCCTCCTCCAGGGGATGTTCCTGAGCCAGGGATCGAACCCAGGTCTCCCGCATTACAGGTGGATTCTTTACCATCTGAGCCACCAGAGAAGCCCAAAATTTGTCTTACTGGTTCTAAAAAGCTCAGAAAACCATATTGTCCATTGAGGTTGATGAAACAGACTGAAAAATGATGAATCAATGTTCTCTTTTGCCTATTCTTTCTCCAATGAAAGGCCCAAAGGCCATAAAATAGCCAAAGATCAAGGATGTGCTAATTCTAAATAAGAGGTAATCTTACTTATACAAGTTGTAAATATGGAAATCCATTAGAAAAGAAAATATTAAGGAAATAATCAGACACCTAACCTTGCAGCATTTATAACTGTGCTATAAGCCTGCATTTAAGACATTAAAAATTAGGCAGAATACTGAACATAACTCATTATATAGCTACACAATTCTAGATATACCTTGAGAATGAAAAGAACAGTGAGTCAAAAGTCAAATATTTTTACATAAACAAATCCTTTGGTATTCAAAGGAATACACAAAAAAAGACGGCCATCAGTTTGAGAATTAACACTTGTTTTTTAACACCACCAAATATTTTCAATTCAGTTTGCTCAGAAATACTACCATAGCAATGCATAAGTATATTCTTTAAAAATTCAATGTATATAAGTTGATGATCAACTGAAATAGACAAAATGTTTATTAATAACAAAGAGCAAGAGAATGAGAAACAATCATAAAAGTGTTTGTCCAAAAGGTACTCTTGCTGGATACATGCCCTAAATGACACTAAGATTTTCTAACTGAGGAGTTTATTCACCTTAAGTCAATATTACTCATGAAACTGACAAGACAAAGAAAGCAATGTTATTGCAATACTCTTAGTACTGCTTAATTCTTCCAGTAAAATTTGTTTATGATTATAAGTATGTGCACACATGCATGTATGCAGGCATGCACACATGCACACTCCTCCACAAGAATGAAGTGTACCTAACTTGAATTCTGTATTGCAAGGAATTGGGAAACCTAAAAATTCTTAGCTTAGAAATGTACCAGTTCTATTCCTTCTTTCTGTCCTTCTAAGAATAGTTCTGATGACAATACTCTTTTCTACAAAAACAGTCTCTCATTTCCTATGCATAAAATAATATTCCTTAGCTTGAGTATTCCAAGCTCTTCACAATCTTTGCACAATTCTATTCTACTATGGAGTAATCCAATGTGCTCTAGGCTGTGGCTGCTGCTGCTCGCTAACACCCTGCACTTCCCAGCAGGTGTCTTCACTGGAACAGGTGTTCATTTTATCTTAATCTCTTAAACTCCTACTTTGACTTCAAAAGCCATCAGCACTTCAACATTCCCTCAACTCCACAAATCACTATCCAGTGAACTCTTATTTTATATTAGCCTTTTTGGTGGCACATATTCCCAATTAATATCATGTCATTTACTTTTGTCCATAGCACAGTTTGCAGGATGGCAGGGAAGCTAATTTCCCTTTTTCTACTTTTACATACTTCCCAGTGCCTTGTACACACAGTGAGTACTCAATACATATGAAGATGGCCTGACATGTAGGCTCAGGTTTGATTGTAGACCCTTGTTTTAAGATGATGAACAGAATTAAAAGCTGAAGTTTATTTTTTGAGGGGGGTTATTGCTCCCCTCTGAAATTACAGAGAAGCTTGGTTTAAAGGAGCCTGCTATTCATACTTTACCCAATGTAAGTGCTAAGACTGCTAAATAAAAACACAATGGACCAAAACTAGAAACATGCTAACTGGAAACTGGGGGTAGAAGGTGAACGGACAGAAAAGATTTGGATACTAATTCATCTTGAAAAGCCAAGTCCATGTATTACTTTCACTATGGATTAAAAAATGAAAATAGCAACTATTTAATTAGAAAAAAAAAGAGGATCCTGGACAAAGTGTAACTAAAAGATGAAACTAAAGCAGGGAAACATTTTTACATGTACAATAACAAAGTGACCTGAAAATATAGACACATACCTTTCAAATCCTCTAAAAAGTAAAAGCTACCACAGAAACAGTGAGTTTATTTATAGATCATTCATATTAGAAAGCACTCAAAATCCAGAAAAAAAATTTTTCTAAGACATTCATATGCTAGTAAACTTTCCTAGACACACAAAAAGCAACATCAACTACTATGCAGACTGGTGAACTTTGGATGCTTTAACAAGTCCAAAGGCATAGAAGTTCATTTTAAATATTTACTGAACATCTAATCATGCTGTCAGGCACTAAGGATCTGAAAAGTGGTATGAGTCACAATTTTTACAAGTGTATTCATATGCCATTTCTAAATGTTCCGACTAAATATTGAAATCTATTGAATTTTAAATGCCCACAAAATCACTATCTTTTTTTTAAGGGGATGGGATCACCCCTGAATCTCTATAATTTAGAAAATAAGACAAACACACGAAAGAAGTTAAGAACATTTTCAACTACTATTGAAATATGAGTGCTAGGAATCAAAGAACTATTTTTTTGCAACTTTTTTTTCATGGTGGTAAGAATACTTGAGGAACCTTAATTTTAGTACAAGTTCTGGTGCTAACAAGTTATACGCCACTGGGAAAAGGTCAGGAACTTTAGTCTGTTATTTGTTAAAAAAAGACACTGCTACTTGCCCTACCTGCCTCACAACATCTATGATGAGTATGAAATGAGATAACATATGCTTATCTCATATGTTTTATTTTCAAAAGGCTTTCACAAAATGCAAGGAATCATAATCTTTATCATTGATTAAAAAATCCAGTTAAGTATAACAGCAGGTTTCCAACTGCTTCAAAATATGTTCCAGGAAATATTCACAAGGTAACATTGTAAATCCATGAATTTAAAACAGCCCACACAAGCCACTGACGGTTAAGACTGACATACATACACAGTCCCACTCTGGTTATAAAAACCTACTATACTGGAATACAGCATCAATAGAGCAAAAATTTTACTTTAAAAGAAACCATTCGCACTTAATACAGTATATTCTAAAAACAATGCTACAATTTCAGGACACAGGCATATTGGCTAATCTAAGCTGTTAAAAATTAGTGCTTACTTGCCCAATATCCACAGACATTTCAATTTAAAGCTATAGTTCTAAAAGCGGTTAGTACTGTCAACTGGCTTTGTTCCAAGATATCATTTTTTACTGGTCTACCAGTAAGGAATCATACTTAGCAGATATAAGAGGAGGCAAAGTAGAAAATCAAAGTGAAACAGGGTACAAATTTTATAATAATAAAGACAAAATAACATGAACATTGGACAATTCAACTATAATCATGAAATGAATGAATTCTGTAATAAGATACACAAACTGCACATTATTTTTAGTAGCAGAATACTCAAGAATAGGCAAGAATTAATACTGACAAGTAAACATAACCATTGAGTTGAATATTCCCCTCCAAGAGAAAGATTAGTTTACATTAACCATACTTTTTGATAACATGCCACAACTACCAAAAAGGTAGCTCGGCAGACGTGACATAAAATGGGTTGACGTTTATGGGTTGAGATGGGCTCAGTTTTTAGAAGAGTTATGTGAATGCATCAGATCTATCTTTTGGTCTTCTGGGTTATCTAAAAAAATTAGAAAACAGTCTGACAGATTTGTTTTGAGAAATTAAATAAGCCTACTCCCCCTCAAAAAAACCAACTCCCTCTGCATATCTTAAACTTATTTTCAGATTTTGAAGCATAAAAGGATAAGGCATAACAGCAAGCAAGGAGAGATTAAAGAAAGGTTGCCACATTACATACATTTTGTAACAATTTCACTAAAGGGATCATCCCCACATCATCCACTGTTTCAGTTGTGATAGGTATTTTTAAAGGTTATTCCACTAGCTTACTGAATTTACTAGGGTGAGGGTACCTACTAAACAAATGAAGTAACGAATTTTTCTTTGTTTTACTTAGGCATGATGATTTTAAAAGACTCAAACCTTTGCTGAAGACTCCTTGAGTTCGATGAGACTGTCCTGTAGAAAATGAATGGAGATGACAGGTGAGCTGGCATAGTTCTCAGAACCCAGAGGAACTTTGGAAAGTATGGCTGTAACCTGGAAATAAACCAGCTACTTCTTGTGAGGATAAATCTCGTGATGTCATTATTATATGAATATCAACAGTAAAAAAGAAAACAAAAACTATGTAATGGAATTGTAATGTTAAAAAAAAAACTTAAATTATATGTACTCATTGCAACAAATAAAAATCTTTCTCTGCTCAGAATTTAAAAATAAATGTCAATGCTACATTTTTTCATAATACTGTATTTAAGCTACAGGTAACATTAAAAAGCTTAAGAAAGCAAAATATTTTTTCTCCACAAAAAAGCTTAAGATAGTGGAGATCACAACATTGTCTTATATTTTCATAGTTTTTCTTTAATAGGGAGGTTTCAAACTTTACTTGTGACTGTCATAAATATACACAAATTTTATTCTAGCCAGAAAACTCAGTGGCATTACATTAACAAGAAAACAAAATATATTCTATAAAAGAGTAATTAACTCTCTTCTTTTTGCAAAGTGCCTCTAACTGTAAATCTCATACCTCCCACAAAAAAAAAAAAAAAAAAGACGTTTAAAAAAAAAAAAAACAAAGAAAGAAAATGAAATTACGGTATTCAACCACAGTGCTCTTGATGAAGAATTAGTTAACTTACAGGTTTAAAAGTTCAACGTACTGCAAATTCAAAGATTCCATGAAATTAGATGACTTTAGAATTAAAATTAAATATGGAGCAAGGAATGGCTACCCTGAGTCTTCAAGAAGGCTACACCCACGATTTTGTGCTGCAGTTGAATGCCTGGGGTTTCTCTTTGCTGGGTGGTAGGATTGGATGCCACATCTGCAAGGTTCAACTTGTTGGGAACCCAATGGGTATAAACAAACCTCCAAGGGAAGATACAACAGAAGCTGCATGCTCACTGAATATACACAACTACAGGAGAACTGATCACCAAGGAGACTTTAAAATGGAACTCCTTTCAAGACTCCTTCTTAGAAGGCACACATCGGTATGATGCTCATCAAGAAGCTTGATGAATTCAGAGGTATCTTGTTTATCCTGCATCATCCAGGAAGTCTTCAGTGATATATATTCTTCAATATTTATGCCGGAAAATAGGCTTCATTCTGCTGCAAAGATTCATTTGCTTGTAGCTACCATTGCACTCCAAAAAAGACTGCTTAAAGCAGTGAGGCACTTCTGGGAAAAATCTCTCTTGCACTTTGAAACACTACAAAATTAGTGCTAGGTCCTTGAAGTTTTCATATTCTTATAAGAAAAATACTCGATAGGAAAAAAATATCAGTCCACCAAAAAAAAAATCATTTTCTAATGCCATATAAAACCTCCAGTGGCTCCAGTGAATACTTGGCACAAGACTTGAAGGAAGTCAGGACACGTATTCCAAACAGGTGAGCCTAACATGGACGCTGCCTTCCTCAGGCTATACTAACCTTTACTGTTGAGGAATGTGATGGAGAAGGATGGGTATCAATTTTGCGACGTTTCTGTTCTGTTGGGATGAAAAGAAATAGTCATAATTAAGTTATGTTTGCACTTTTCCCAAACACTTAAAAAAAAACACCAACTTCTAAGATTCTTAAGTATTAGTTTCTCCCTAGTTAAGTCCCTAGATAATTTGCCAAAACAAGACAAGAACCAACTTTAAATTATAACAACCAAAGGTAAACAAGTAAAAAGAAAGACAAACTAAACTTGCCCCTTTCAGGCTCTGCAATATCTGATCGGGGAACAGGTGACTTCAAGGACCCAGAAACTGGTGTTTTCTCTCCTCCTTTAACATTTTCCTTTGATTTCATTTCCTTTGCTATATCTCGTTCTCTGGACGGCTCCTTCTCTCTTTCCTTTTCTTGAGTTGACTTTGATTCTACATTCGGGACAGTGGTCTTGAATTTCTCATCTTTAGCTTTTTCTTCCTTCTTGAATTTTTCTTTCTCTTTATCAGATTTAGGTGTTCTTTCCTTCGTCTCTCTTGCTTTTTCATCTTTATTTGGCCGTTCTTCCTTTGGTTTCTCTTTACCATCTTTACCAAGTACTCGGGCCTCTGGAGTAGTAGCTGGAGTCTTTTCTTTTTTCTCTTTTTCTTTCTCTTTTCCTTTTTCTTTGTCATTTTCTTTAACAGTTTTGCTGCTTAAGAAGGAAAACACGAGATTTTAAGACAAAATGGCCATAAAATATATTCAATGTTATAAATCATAAAGCATTTTTTTTACTGACTTCTAAAGTTTCAGAACTAAGAGTAACCCTTTGAAAACTAAAGGACAACTTTAAGACAAAAGGGAAGTACTTCTTTATCCAATAAATAATAACTAAATTCACAAACAGCAGATTAAGAAAGAGTAACTAAAGTGATGCTGGGCCTTTTTGTATATGTTCATAATCTTTGAGGATTAAAAAGTAACAAAAACTACCCCATAAGCCAACCAAGGGTGCTATAATTAGGAACTGGATTACTTAGTTGGATGGATCACTGGTCTAAATCAGTGTATGCTTCTTTCATATTAATTATTCTTACCTAGACTGTCCACAGCAAACACTCAGTCCTAAAAAAATTTTTTAAACTTCAACACATACATTCCCCTGCATATTCCAGTAGAGGAAACAAAGGCAGTTTCAGCATTATAAAAAATGTGAGGAAGGTAAGCATATCATCAAACAGCAGTATACACAAAATTTTTAAGTCCAACATAAGTGAGTTTAATAGTATTCAACTATCATCCTCTTTCATTCATGTCTAGTGAGGTTGGTTAATCATATAAGAATTCAGAATTTTGGTCCAGAGCACAGTGTTCCTACCTGTTAGAGCCACTATTTCCATTACTTGAATTCCCTTTTGGTGTGGCACTAGAAGCTTTATTAACAGCTTTCACACCACACTGAGATCTCTCCCTTGATTTATCTGAAATAAAGGTAAAGCTTTATTTGGCAAGCCCCAAAATGTAAATAAGCTACAATTTCACAGCAAAATGAAAAGACTAGATAGAAAGAAACAAAGGCGTTATCACTTCTTGGCAGTAACATACTACTACTTAGGAAACAAAAAAGTAACACTAAGCCAGCATTTTACTTGTCATGGGATACAAAACATATCAGTTTCCTGAAACAAAACGTATTACTTATAAATTCATACAAATAAGCATACCAGTGTCCTCGGTACTGCTTTCGTCTGACTTAGACATACTTCCGATAGACGATGAAGGCCCACCGCCAGGCCCATTTTGTACACTGGCAACTGCATTCCTCGGAGGGGGGTCTTTGTGATGAAACTCATTTTCAGGTATCATGTATGACTTTCTACTTTTCAACTGCCCAGAGTAGCTGAAAGTCGCACAAAGTGTTTAAATATACAAATACAAATCAAAAGGCACAAACATGGGGTTCAAAGAATAAAATTAGCAAGTTATTTACTCTGATACTTGATTCCAAAGAATAAAATAATATTAACTTTCAGTAAGTTCCTGAAGGTCTTTATGGAGAGCCTAGATGCTTTCTTAGAAATAAAAATTTCAATGTAAACTAATCCTTCAACTAAAATGCCTTTTTTCCACTATTGAAGATCTGATAATTCAACTGATGATAAAACTGCATTTCCTCCAAGCCAAAATATGTTATGTATGACTTTTGAAACTCTCATCCAGTACAGACCGGAAGCTAATAATCAGAAGTGACAACTCTCACCAGCCTGTGGGAACATGATCGCATAATCTCCCATAATCTCCTGAAGTAAGGCAGAAGATAAACTTCAACACTGTAAAACATTTTAGAGTCTTCAGAATCCTTCTGTAATCTAGTCTCATAAATCACATTAAAGTATAATTCTGTTACCCCATAGCCAATGCATATAGATCTGGCCTCTTCTCTTTTTCCTCTTGGCAGATTTTATGCACTCTTCTTTCCAAAGCCTGACCCAGATTCAAAACTTTTGGGTACCAAGGAAGTATTTTTGTTAGCACAATCAAGATATTCCTGATGTGAGTATATTCGCCTGTTTCAAGGCAATGTACCGATGCCTACAACAAACATTTTAAGATCTGTTATTATAAAAGTGGCAGTATGAAGAAGAAAAAAACACCTTTGAGAAATACAAATTTTTTTCTTACCTTGGTTAGTTTGTAATGCCATTTGTGTACAACATGTCGAAAATTTTCATAGTCTAATTGATCAGCTTTATTTCCACCATCAAATCCAGTTGCTCGTAATATAGTAAGGAATCCTGGATAATTTCCACATTCCTAAGGGAGAAAACAGGCTGTCACTTTTAAAGAAAGATTCTGTCCTCCAAAATAGCAGAAGCTGAAACTGAAGTAGACTAATGATTCCATGGGAAAATATGATGTGTATCTGAATTATAGGTAGTTTTCATAGAAAGATTAAGTTTATTCAGTGACATTCATTTGAAATGTCAGTTTGAGATAGAATAAAAATATAGCACTTTTTAATAATGAATGAACTGTGCTTAAATTTTAGACATTGTTTTATAACTAAATCTTGAACTCAGCTTCCCTTTTAAAACCAAACAACCCAGAGCTTACTGAAAGTGGTCATTATATACATGGTAAATGGGTAAAATTTAATAGTACTTGTTCCCCATACCTTTTCATATGTGGCTCTATCACTGTGCCACCTGGTCACAGTCTCTAACATGCAGCAAAGGAATCTCCCATATCGACTAGCTTCATTTTCAGTACAGCTTGCGACTGTGTAAATTATATCAGAGAAAACCTACAGAAAACAATGTGTGAGATATGAAGACAGATCAAGTTCAAAATATTAAAAGACCATGTAATACCAATCATAAAAAACTAAACAGGTAGGTTTAATCAAAATGCATCATCCCCTCTTATATTCACAATTCTAAGACCTTTAAAGATTTTGGCTTTTGTGAGAAAACAGTACATTTATAAAGCAATAATAACAACAAAAACCCACTTTTATAAAGAAAGCTGATTTACAATGACAGAAGAAAAAATAATATCATTATTACTACATCATAACTTTTTAACAAAGACTCAGCCATAGATATTAATGGGGTTACGGGGAGCAGTTAAGCAGGGTTAAGCAGAAGCGAGGCTGACAGAAACCAGAAATAGGCAGCTAAGAGGCTGTAACATAAATCAGATTTTAAACCATAAAATGCAGTGATTTATTATTAAGAAAAAAGCCAGATGCAAAAATCTGTGAATGTGACCATACTAAAAAGTGTCCCGGCTTTTATATATGTGCAGCTTTTTTGTTGTTTTTTGAGGGGGTGAAGGTTAGGAATGCAGAATAGAGTTCTACCTATTATGACAAACATAAACTCAAATGTCGAGTTAATGGATTAACAAGGGGGTGCTTATTATATATACCAGGCACTAATCAAAGTGCTTTTGTGTGTAATGACTCCTTTAATCCTCACAACAATCTTATGAATCAGGTACTATTATCCCGTTTTACAGATAGAAAACTGAGGCACAGAGAGATTAAAAAAAACTTGCCAAAGATCATATAGCTAGAAAGTAGCAGAGCTAGGATTCAAGTTCAGGCACTTGGCTCTTGAATTCATACTTTTAACCACACACACAATAATACCTCCACAGATTATAATGTTTAGCTATCTTTGTGTGAGACTTTTTTTAAAGGTTGCAATAGAAAGAACTTACTCGATCATAGCAAAGAAGTGTGGAAAAATTTGGAGTTTTCTGTTGATGTACCAATTCAACAAAACGAGCACAGTAAACAGCATCAATTGCTGAAAAAATACATCGAGGAAATATACACAGCTGTAGAAATTTTGTGATGGTCTCATTTTTGGTAGATTCTAAAAATAAGGGAAGAATATATTAAGTGGTAAACTTCTTCCTCAAGTGCCTCAAGGTCACTAAACATGACAACATTAACTTTAGTGTAGAGAATGCTATAAAACCACAAACTATTTATAGTTTGTAACCAAAAGGTCATGCCTGGGATAAGACTTTCATTTTCACTCTGTGAACATTTTTCTACCTATAATTTCTCCAGAAATAAGATTTTATACATAAGAGTTGAGTGATAAGCTGCCAATATGGTTAATTAATTTCATCACAAACTAAATCTGTTCTTTCAGTGAACATGTGAAGTCAACTCTGCATTAATGAATAGCCAAAGAATGGAATGGGCTTCCCTTATAGCTCAGTTGGTAAGGAATCTGCCTGCAATGCAGGAGACTCGGATTTGATCCCTGAGTCAGGAAGATCCCCTGGAGAAGAAAATGGCAACCCAGTCAGTGTTCTTGCCTGGAGAATCCCATGGACAGAAGAGCCTGACAGTCCATGGGCTCGCAGAGTCGGACACGACTTAGCAACTACCAAAGGATGGGATAGTGAACACTGAGTTGAAATACAAACGTAATATACTTCAGTACCTCCAAAGTTATAAAAGTCTGCTTTTTTAATGTAAAGTGGCAGAAATGTAACAATTCCAACAACTTACTTGCTAAAAGCCAGTTGTCCTTTTCCAGTTTCAGTCTCTGCAGAACTCGCTGTACATGTTCCATCTGTTTCTTTTCTTCTTCAAGAAGCTTGTCCTGAAGGGCAGTACATCGCTCCTTCTCTTTTTTCTTTTTATTTGGAGGCTACAAAGTATAAGTTAGATACTTTTCTAACTATAGGCACATTACTTCTCCTTCTTTTAATTAAAAAATTTAAGGAGATAAATGCCAGTATTTTATACTAATTACTTCAACAGGGATGTTTAGGAGTCCACTTGGATGTGCTTTCACCTCCAATCAATAAAATCAGTCTTTGTACTCTACCAAAATAGGCTACCTTCTCAACAGTGGTTCTTTTAGTCTGAGGCATAGAGTCATCTTGGATCCCTCCTTCTCTGTTTCAACGTTCTAACTGCTTACAAGTCCCTTGCATTCCCACTACCTCCACCATAGTCTATGCTCTCAGTACCTCATAATTACCCAAAAGGCTCCTAGGTGGTCTCCTGCCTAATGCCAGTCCCTTGGCCTACCAAACTAATCCTTCATACCGCTGTTACGAGCAAGCTTTCTAAAGTACCATTTTTACCATTATTGCTTCCCTGCTTAGGAATCTAAAATACCTCTGAATTTTATCAAGCCTTCCTTTCTAACTTTCATTGCTCTACAGCATTGGGCACCATCCTAACCATTCAAATTTATCACTAAGCCCATTCACTATAGTACAAATGGTCTCTTTAAACTTTAGATTACTTCATACTTTTGCTGAAGCTCTAGAGTCGCCAATTTGCCACCTTATTTCTAAACCTAACCTATTATCAAGGCCTATCCAGTTCAAGACTCACCTCTTCAATAAAGTTTTCTCCTAAAGAATTCTCCTCTGGGGAATTCCTATTCTTCATGCAATTAGTAACATAGACCATTTTAAGTTGCTAGCACAGCATTCAGTAGAAAAGCAAACTTGAATACTTTCTGATTGATCACAACCTTCATGCACTCACCAAGCCCCTGCCCCAACTCATGGAGAGATCATCTCTAAACCCACTTAGGAAAACATTATATAACAAGATAGAAACTTGAGCTAATATAATTCCAAGGTATGGAAAATGTTGAATTAATACCATGAAGTTATTTTTCTTGAGCTACTAGAACAAAAACCTACCATTTCCTGATTGTCATCAATAGCTTTCATCTGGATTTTAAGTTTATTGACTTCCCGTTCATAGCTGGTATGTGGTACTGCAAGGTCATACATTGTCAATGACCAGAATGTGGCATAGAATTGAGGACTGATGTCATCCCAGACTTTGGAAACGTGTAAGGAAACCACTGCTTCATGAACAGGAGCCATCACCATTTCACATGATGTGATGTACTTATGAACTTTATGCTGCTGTTTACTTCCCTTCTCTGATTTTTTAAGTTCGTCATACTTTGACTGGAGATAAAAAAAAGTAAAAACACATACATACAATATTTATAGCAATGATTTTCATAATATAAAAACCTAGGTTCCCTTGAATGGATACACATATATATCTATGGCTGAGTCCCTTTGCTGTCCACCTGAAACTATCACATTGTTAATTGGCCATACTCCAGTAAAAAATAAAAAGTTACCTAGGTCCCCTTTTCAAGAATCAGAAAATGACCAATCAAAAATGTTGCAGGAAATCTAATTTCTTACCAATAACATTAAAGATAAATCATCCCTGGAAGCTGTTTCAATATTTAGTCCTGTGTGCTTACTAGGAGCTTTTCAGAAGATTCCTATTGCACAAGTCTCTGCTGAGTAAGTGAATAGGGTATGTGAGCCCCTTGACCATTTCCTCCACTATACTCTCTTGCTGCTGCATCAAAGACTGAACAGGTGGGGTTTCCACTCCTGCTTTTGAAATATTCAAGGGAACCAAGTAGATGGTCTAAACACTAGGAAAGAAGCAGAAGAGCAAACCAAGATAGAATGTTTTATCACTACATGTAGCCCCTGTCATCTGTTGTGATCTGTCAATTAAGAAGCTGGATCAACACAAAGAAAGGTTATGAGAACATTACCATAAGACTGCTAAGTAGGAGGACCAAGTGTCCAGATCTCCCAGTGATTGAGAGGTTTCCAAGGATGCAAGACTGTAGTGCTGAAACTGGGAAAGTCTGGCAAACAAGGACCTACTGGTAATCCTACTGCTAAGCCAAATAAGTTTTTCTCTGAATGACTATGGTATACTGAAGTTTAAAGCATATGGGAACTGACTTCCTATAGCTTGTTTTTTGGCTTGATTGGTTTGGGGGAAAGTCAGGGGATTAATTGTATGAATAAAAGAATCTGTTAGTACAATGGAAGGGACCACATATTATCAATAGTTCTTAAAATATATGCCAAACATAAAAAATAAAACAAAGTAGAGTTGTTGCTACTGTCTCATGTCCTTCGGTTTCTTTCCAGAAAACTGTCTGGGTTAGGCATCATCCCTGAAGATGAACCTGAGGACATCTAAAACTAGCTGCTTCTTTACGCTAGAAAAGCACTTAAATCATTCACAGTTTTTGCTAAACATGGAACCCAGAACTAGAAGATCAGAACTCAAAGGTCCCACTTCCAGTTCTGCATCATGACAAGCAGAGTCTTGGCTCCTTACAATCCGGCTGCCGTCCCCACTGAGTGCCGCCATGCTCTAGGCTCACTGGCTTGAAGGCACACCAAGTGCTCTTTGTTTTACAGGCTATCTCAAGCAGAACAGAGAATCAGACAATTATTTTAGAAGTGAGAAAAATTATCTCCTGTTATCCCCATTTTAGAGAGCACACTGATAACTACTGAGGCTACAGATGACAAAGCTATAAATAAAAAGAACATTACTTAGGAGAGCAGTCCCAATTACACCAGAAACTTGAGAGAATAGCAGCTGCAATAAGAAAGACTTTAAAATTTTTGATCCTACTGAAGTCCTACTTAAGTCAACTAATATGAACCTATGTGTGCAGAATGATATCTGTTGAGGTTCTAACAAAACAGAGATTAAAACAGTGCTGAAATTACCAGCATAAGATAGCTTATCTACCTGATTTGGTCATTAATTAGAAAATGAACTAGAGGAAAAGCCCTTCTTTGAGACCAGTGTTGCAAGGTGGGTCTCAACAATTAAAACCAGTATTCTTGCCTGGGAAATCCCATGGACAGAGGAGCCTGACGTGCTGCAGTCCAAGGGGTGGCAAAGAGTCAGACAAGACTTAGTGAATAAACAACAACATGAGAGTGTTAAATGATAGCCCTAGTCTCCCTAATCCTTTCATTCTGAATCTGTGAATTCTATTGCTAGGCACCCTCCTGGTTCCTATCTAGCTGAAAATAAAACACGCTCGATCAGAAAAGATGGCTATACTTCATATTTGCTGAGGACAAATACTTCCTTGCCTAAAGTCAGTTTAACCCCTCTTCAAGCTCATGTCTTCCGTCAAATTGATAAGTTTAACAGTTCTACAAAGTCACCTGGGGAACTAGACCTACGGAATAGAACTGATACTCACTGTTATTGCTGTTTTTTCTGGTTGTGCCTCATGGCATGTGGGATCTGAGTTCCCCAACCAGCAACTGAATCCATGCCCCCTGCAGTGCAAGCAGAGTCCTAACCACTGGACTGCCAGGAAGTCTCTGCTGTACTTCTAACTACTGTTCAAAACACTCTCGGTCTAACAATCTGAGCAGTATTTGGTTGGCTTAATTATGTCTGCCAGTAATCACTTTATGGAAGGGACCTAGCTGCCCTCTAATACTCATACTCTCTCATCAAAGGTTCTTCAGGGGACTTCTCTGGCAGTCCAGTGGTTGGGACTTCACGTTTCCAATGCAGAGCGTGCAGGTTTGGTCCCTGGTTTGAGAATGAAGATCCCACATGCTGCATGGCATGGCCAAAAAACAAAATAGGTTTTTTTAAGAGGGGCAGGGGGAGGTTCTTCAAGAGTGGCTTTTGCAAGAGGCAAAGAAAGGATCCCAAGGGAAGCTTGGATGCCCAATCCAGTGCAACCAAGGTTGCCAAGGAACTCCCTTTTCAGGGGGTGGTATGTGGCCTACTCCTGACTTGGTTGTACAGTCACCTCTGTAGTTCTCTGTTTTCCTCTCAACCCTGAGAGGGGAATGACATTTCTTTGTTTAGATATTTTTATCTCTTAAGCAATATTTTCTACAGGCAATGGAAAAAGTACTCGTTGGTATGAATGGCCTGCTCCATTTTCTGGCCTGGAAACACTCAGCCAACCTCAAGCAACCAAGTTTTCCTCTTTGCTAGGGTTCAGTATCACTGATGAGTGTGTTCATTTCTCAGTATAGTACACGATAGGTCAGAACTTCTGAGATGAAGCAATTCTCACACCTCAGTCCCTGAAGCAATCAGGTCCCCTGTTGTATAGCTGAGACTGATAAACTGGAGGTGGAGCAACAACACAAAATATAACTACACAAAGAGAATATAACAATTTTCTGGATTGAGAAGAGTCTGAAGGAGAAGCAACAACCCATTCTTACTCTCTTATTGTCTTTTTCCCTCTAGAGTATATAGCACAGTATTGCAAGCAAAAGTTGAATCAATTAACATTGAGTTAGTTGTTGGAGGTTAAGTGTGAGACTGTAGCAGTTAATATGTAAACACTAACAGCTAGGTTTACAACTAATAATAGGTTGATCAAATGATCAGTTAGATCCCAAATTTCTCAGCGTCTTTTGCCAAACTCTAATACACAGCCCTGTATCCCTACTGGAAAAGAGAAGGAATTCTAGTTAAAGGGAGGGGAACCAAGATCTTTCCTCAAATCTGTAATGAAAGACTTGCATAGTACACACTTAAAAACAACAGATTAAACAGAAAGGCCAGAATCCAAGCCTACACAAAAATGAAGAATATGCTTAGACTCTAGTCAAAGTGGAGAAGACCACAGTTTCCAAACGGAGGACTGACCATGGCCCTGAGGAAAAAGGAAAAGTAAATTCCTATTAGAGGTAATGGCTTTGAAGGGAAGAGTCCAGGTGGCAGATCGAGAAGAGGAGGAAGGGCTTTCTCCTCTTACCCCACATCCTTACTTGATTTTCAGTACAGTCACTAAAGAGATAACCTACTTGGCGAGACTCTAGTTTGCTTTTTGTTGTTGTTTCTTTTCATTTGTTTTTTGTTTAGGTGGAGAGAAATAAAACAGGAACCATGAATATACCTCTCCTAGAAGTTACACAACAGAGTGCGAGAGTATTTACAATGTTAGGGGTGGTTAAGTCTTTCAGTCTTTTCTTTCAAGGCAATATGTGTAATAGCAAGTCAACTATCTGACAAGGATAACTGTCACTAAGGAAACAGGATTCTCTGTATTCACTAGGGGTGTTTCTCAGAATGATATGCCACATTCATCTGCATGAGAATCATCTAGTCTTATTAAAACAAAAAAAGCAAAAACTCTGGTAGCATTCAAGTTTCTAAATCAGATTTTATGGACACGGGGTTAAGTTTTTAAGATGCTTCCCTGGTGGTTCTCTAATAATTTCCTGATGACCTGCACTAATGTTTAAAAACTATAGTTCTAGAGGGCCTATAAGATATCAACTTAGACAACCGGTAGTGTAGTAACAGTAAAATTATAGAACTAGAAAGACTTTACTTTTTAAAAGGGTTATGTTCATTGACCACTGCTCAGAGCTGAGTGCTAACAAAAGAGCAACTCTCTAATAACCTATGTCAAACTATGCACTTACAAATAAAACAGTTAAGTAATGTGGAATTATTCTTGGAATGGCAGCAAAAATACTTATACTTACCGAAATATGGTGTGCATACATTGGCCTAGACAGGAAAAATGCTGCATCATGAGGTGTGTGAAATTCATTACAGAGCACATCAATTGAAGGCACTCGCTTTATATAATCTTCTGTGCTTAGATTAGATGCTAAAAACCCACCAAACTGTACCAGGGTATCATGACACTAAATTTAAAAAATAAGACAAAAAACACAAATGTGCTAACATTTTATTAAACCAACATAATGTTTTCCAAAATGACTAAGGTGTTATTTTAACAATATTTTGATTAACAATTAAGAATTCAAATATTACTACTTGAAAGAACTTTGGAGACAATCCACAAACTTAATCATATAATCATATTACAAAAGAGACACTCAAGTCCTGAAAAGTTGACTAATTTGAGAATTTGATAGTCAACCAAGGTCTCAAATTCACCTAATTTTTACCACCTATTTTTAGTGGTAAAATATATTTACCTAAATTTTATAGAACAATATTATGTATATACAAGTCAATTCTCTTGGCCCTTAAAAGTAGAAAATTTTATAAAACACGTGTGATTTTTTTTTACCTTGTAATATGGTGATAGTTAAACACATTTTTTAGGTTAGCCATAGGTTTTGGTGCTTAACACATTATTGACTAGAGACGTATTACTATGTCTTTTGTCACCTGAATTTTATTGACCAGGAACACATCAATACATTTTTAGAGTGATACAATTAACATCACCATGTAAAGTTGTTAAGAGTTTAAAATTGATCAAGGGTTCATTATACAATCTATGATTATCGTTATTCACTTTTTGTTAGGTTTTTGTTCTAACCCTGTGTATATTATAAATGCAAGTTTATTACCATAAAATTTTCAAAAATGACTGAAAACCTTATACTATTATATCCCCTAGAGCCATCTCTTAAATATCATAATTTGCACAGAAATTGTCCCTATTTCCAGAATGTCTATTTTATATATACATCATATACCATAATATACAGACCATATATAATATATATATATATATAAAATGCATATAATATATATACCATGGTATATATTATACGATCAGCAAATGACATTTTTCAAATTATATAACATTCTATATTTTCCATTATCAAGATTTAAAAATCCACAGAAACACAAAGGCCACTTTAACTTGCCTGATCATAGAGTTTTCCCACAAGTTTCAAATGTTTCTCTCCACCTTCCTGAAAGATTACCCCATTCCTCTGCTGAGCCATAAGCAAGCAGAGAGGAAGAGCAAGATCATGGTCTAATAGTGCATCCTTTAATCTCTGGGAGGATTTTTTAGTGTTTCTTATCTGGCCAAAATAACCACCCTGCAAAAGAGAAGACATAAATTTACTAGTGTACCAGTACATAACACATGCCATCTGATTTGAAAAAAGAAAACAACAAAACAAAACAGGAAAGATTTGGTTACAATCCTGAAGATAAAAAATCTCACACACCTTACATTCCTTCCCTCTCTTGACAAATTTATTTTACTGACACTATTACTGCCACTGGCTTTAGTCACTGGCTTAAAGATAACTGCCAATTGTCTTTAAACTTCTACATATTTTCCACTTTCTACCATGTGGTTCCTTATAAAGGATTATTCTTTAGTCACTTTGGAGCAGATTCAACAACAGAGTAACTATGCTCAGATTTATGCCAGCTGGGGTATGAAGGACCACAGAAGACTTGATATTTATTTCCCTTTAGATGTATTACTGTCTTTTATACTTTGTTTCAGCTTTTTAAAAAGGTTAAAGTAACTAGAACATTGCAATTTTTAAAAAGGAGGTGGGGACAATTATAAGAGAAGGGTATGGCTTTGACATTTAGCTTTATGTAATTATGTGAAGTTTAAATTCTTTATTATGAACATGCATACATTTTGATTACTGTAGCTTTGTAGTACTGTCTGAAGTATGGGAGGGTTATGCTTCCAGTTTTTCTTCCCTCAAAATTGCTTTGGCAATTCTGGGTCTTTTATGGTTCCATATAAATTCTAGGATTATCTGTTCTAGTTCTGTTAAAAAAAACTGTCCTAGGTATTTTGACAGGGATGACATTAACTCTGTAGATTGCTTTGGGTAGTATGGCCATTTTAACAATGTTAATTCTTCCAATCCAAGAGCATAGAATATCTTTCCATTTCTTTGAATCATCTTCAATTTCCTTTATTAATGTTTTATAGTTCTCAGCATAATAAGTCTTTCATTTCCTTGGTGAGGTATATTTCCAAGTATTTTTTAATGTGATTTTAAAAGGTAGCATGCACCCAGTTTGAATTTTAAGTCACTAAACAAAAAGAGCAGAGTCTCACCTCAGCTTTGAGTTGCTCTCCACCAGTCATGGCTTCTAGCTGCTCCATTGTCATTTCTTCAGTAATTTCTATCCCTGCCATTTTTTGTACCACTTCTTTCAGTATAAGCAGGTCAAAACTATTTAGGAAAAATAAGAAACAGTCTACAGTTGAAACTTCAAACGTAAATGAGTTGTAATTAATACAATAAGGAGGAGGAATGGAGGCAGGGAGAGGAGAAAGGAAAAAAAGGAAGGAAATGCAAGTTCCAAGTTGCAATATTTGAGCCTAAGATGACAGTTCAGAGGTCTGCCTTGAGCATATTTATTACTGTGCCAACAGTTATTCATTTGAATTCTCTACGTTTAGGACTACTGATGAAAATAACACTTTATGACTTCTAAGATCTTCCTTAATTTGTTAAGTAATGAAGTAAAAACATACCTTTCTACAAAATAAATGCAGATGTGTTTCCAAAGAAAGGTAAAGCTAAGCATATCCAAGATACAAGTTAACAGACAAAGGAAAGGTGGTTTTTCTAAGACTCTTTTTTCTTAGAAAAAAGAATGTGGTTTTTCTAAGAGAGTGCGTGCTTACTCTCTCAACTTGACTTGCTTCTCTAAACATAGTTTTTGAAAACAAGAGGGCCCTCATGAAAATTAGTATGCAACAAGTACCAATGAAACCTTTCCATTAGATGGTCACAAAAACTCTATCACAGTACAGAAAACTGAACTAGAGATTTAAAGGTAACATGATTATTTTCCTGGCCTAAATAGTCACAGAAGAGTAAAATGTATGGGAATGGCCAACAGATCCTTAACATAGTTTTATTTTTCTTTTTAAAAATTTTCCCTAAGCCAAAACAGTCTGTCAAGAATTACTTAGATAATATTTGTTTGAAGCACCAGAGAGCTTTACAGATTTCTGTTTGCTTTCTACCAGAAAGCTTTTGAAAACAATTTTCAATTCTTAGTCTAGTCAGTCTATTGCTGATGGAGTTTAATCTACATTCTAATTCAAACTCTAAGCACTGATATTAGTCCAGAATAAAATAATAAAACTCACTATTTATAAAGAAAAGAGGACAGTGTCCAAAGATACATTAATGTTACCTATCTCTAAAGTTTAAATTCAAAAAATAGTTGTTTTAAAGTAATACATACACCTTCAAAATAAACATTCCTACCAAATGCTCAATGTAAAGGCCAATTCCTCTGCCCAGTAGCGTAATCAATAGTGCAATATGTTTTGCCATAAGAGGATTTAAAATATACCATATCAATCATTTATTCAAAAGTCTAATGCATAGTCAATATGAATTTTTAATGAGTTACAGATATAACCAAATATTATAAAATTACAAAATTCTATTTATATATGTAAGTTGTAATTTCTTTAATTTCTTTTAATTAAAGAATTCCATGTAAATAAGTGAACAACTATTATTCTTAAGTCTACAACCAACAAATAGTTTTTTAAGATACTAGCAACCTCAGTATCCCAATACCAGCAGAAGCACTCTAATTATTGAATTTCATTTACATATAATTTGCTATGAATACCTTTTGCCTGCCTTTAGCTGATTAGCCACATATTGAAGAAGACCAGCAAGATCAATTGGATATTTACGAAAAACTGCACCACAGAAACTAGCCAGACCTAAATGAAATAAAAAACAAAAAAACAAAAAACAGGGCTTTTTAAAAAAACAGTTCGTAAAACAAAAAGCACAATATTAAGTGTCATTTCAACTAACTCAATTTCCAAAACAAAATGAGCTGGGAAAAACTGTGTTGCTGATGCCACTGAATAGAATTTTATAATTAATAACATTAAGGTTGGTACAAAAGCAACTGCAGTTTCAGACAGTGAAATTTTAAATCATTATAACTAGCTCAAGCACATCTTTATGAATCAAAATAGGAACCACTACAATCAACACATTTTTGCCAACAAGAAATAAGTTTGTTTATTCCTAAAGCATAAAATATCCATTCTTTAGGATTTGGCAAACTCTTGGAAAGCATTTTCTGCATCCTGCTGATTGTGGAAGCATGTACCCTGCAAAAAGTTGTCAAGATGCTTGAAGAAGTGGTAGTCAGCTGGCAACAGGTCAGGTAAACATGGCAGATGAGGTGAAACTTTGTAACCCAATTCATTCAACTTTTGAAGTGTTGGTTGTGTGCCATGCGGTCAGGCATGGTCATGGAGAAAAACTGGGCCCTTTCTGTTGATCAGTGCCGGATGCAGGCACTGCAGTTTTCGGTGCACATCATTAATTTGCTGAGCATACTTCTCAAATGTAATGGTTTCGCCAGGATTCAGAAAGCTATAGTGGATCAGACCAACAGCAGACCACAAAACAGTGACCATGACCTTTTTTGGTGCAAGTTTGGCTTTGGGAAGTGCTTTGGAGCTTCTCGGTTCAACCACTGAGCTGGTCATCCCCAGTTGTCTTACACAATCCACTTTTTGTCACATGTCACAATCCAATCAAGAAGTGGTCTGTTGTTGTTGTGTAGAGAAAGAGAAGATGACACTTCAAAATGACGATTTTTTTGATTTGCAGTGAGCTCACAAGGCATCCACTTATCAAGCTTTTTCATCTTTCCAATTTGCTTCAAATGCCAAACAACCATAGAATGGTTGACAGAGTTCCTGGGAAACTTATTGTGTAGCTGTAAGAGGATCAACTTTGATAATCCTCTCAGTTAATCACTGTCAACTTTGATGGCAGTGTGCTCCTTATCTTCAAGGCTCTTGTCTCCTTTGCAAAACTTCTTGAACTACCACTGCACTATACATCCATTAGCAGTTCCTGGGCCAAATGCACTGCTGATGCTGCAAGTTGTCTCCGCTGCTTTACAATCCATTTTGAACTCAAATAAGAAAATCATTCAAATTTTTTTTTGTCTAACATCATTTCCCTAGTCTAAAATAAATATAAAAAAACAGCAAGTAGTAAGTCATACGCAAAAAAATGAGAAATGCACATTAAAATGCTATAGAACATCATTTTATACAAAAGTGTATAACCACATTTATTTAAGAATGTGGTTCAATATCAATGAACAATATTCAATATCAAATGGTAAAGTTCAACAATGCACAACTGCAATTACTTTTGCACCAACCTAATAGCTAATATTCATTGATCATACATATGCCAAGCAGTCTACTAAGTTGATTATGTAGCTGATATTATGTAATTATCTCATTTAATCTTTGCAATAATCACCTCAAGTTGGTATAAACCTATCAATAAGGAAAATTTTGGAACAGTTATGTCATGAAACTAGCTAAGGGTCACAGAGTTGGGTATGAGGTAGAACAGTGATTCAAATATTTAGGCCTGATTCCACAGCCTGTGACATAAATTACGCTACAACAGAATCTTGCATATAACTCAAACTTGAATGATCAATAAAACACTTGCCCCTCAAATGTTTGAGTCACAAAAAAATCTCACTTTATCTAGGAATGTGCCACCAGTTGTGGAGGTGCAAGGAAACATCGTCAGACCAAGAAGCAAACAAAAGACCAATTTTAGCCAATAGTCTTTATCACATTGGTAGGGAGAAAATCCCAGTCAAGACAAGAGGAGGAGACCCTAGTGAAGTCAAGTGATCTGCATCCTTTTCAACAATTATTTGCTGAGCACCTAAAGGATAATGCACAAAACACAGGTCCTAGTCTCAAGGAGCTTACATTACAGAGAGATACAGAAAAGTAAACTAAAATAACTATGATGAATAAAAAGCTACACAACAGTACCGAAGAGGGACAGTTTATTCTGACTTTTTGGGTGGGAGGTGTTAACAGGGAAAGCTTCCCAAAGAAAGTGACCTGAAATCTAATGAATAAGCAGAAGTGTGCTGGAAAAGATGAGTGGGTATGGATGTGTACCCCCAAGAAGAGGGAATAATATGTGCAAAAGGGCCATGGAAAGTGCAAGAAGTTCACTTTCCATGTGAATTAGAATATTAGGGAGGGGCAAAAGATGAGGCTAGTATAGAAAGAGGACCTGATTCCAAAAGAACTTACTTGTATGATATATTACAGATTGCAGACTTCAAAGGGCAATGGAGAGTTACTGAAGATTCAGCTATTAGAGACACAACTGGTTGAAAGAAAATGTAAATGACTGCTAGAAATCAAAGGTACAAGGGAAAAAAAAAAACCAATGCTAGGGCTTTTTATTAAACAACCAAGTTTTTGTTCTTTTAAGGTAACTGGAACCTCAGGATGGAAAGGAGAGATGGAAGAATACTTCCCTTAAGATTAATTCTTCTAAAATAATAGAATGGATGGGAACTCTCATCTCCCTAGTAATGTTTCTCCAAATTCTATCACAGCCAATACTGATCTCTTGAGTTAGAAAAGGAATAAATACCATATGAACCTCCTTACACAACCAAGGACTTGAACCCTTTGTAGAACAAGCTGAGTGGTTAGATAGTTTCAAAAGCTCTTGACAAATAGATTCTTAGCATAGGTAACAGAATACATAGCACGGCAGTTAACAAATTTCATCCTTGGAAAAATAAAAATACTTACTCTGAAGCCAACTTGAGATGGTTGTGTCGTCATGTTTCATTTTCTCCTTTTCTGGATTAGCTAAAGCTTCAATGATACAATCTTTCATATATTAAGAAAAAATTTTAAGTCATTACATCTCTAACAATGACCTTTAGCTAAGAGAACAATAAAATGCCACCCTTTGGAAAAAAAAGTTAATTGTTAGCTTAAATTTATTACAAATTATTGAAAAATACACTCACGGTAGTACCAACTTTTCTTTTTAGCAGCCTCTTTTCCATCTTTTAGCATGCAAGATATATCAAAGATTTTTGGTAATCTTAACATTATCTTTCCCAATATACAACCCAGACACAAACTCCAGACTGGCCAACCTTCCAATCAGCCATCTGAATCAACCTCAGATGGTTAAGAAAGGAATTTAGAATGAAAATAAAACATTCACCACTACAACCTATGAAATGTAAAACCTATGAATTACTTCATTTGAAAGGATACAGGCCAAGACGTCATAATTCAATGAAGTGAGGTATTTCAATGAATCTACTACAGGTGTTATTAAGTTATCATACTTCTGTATTTGTGACAAGATCTGGAAGATGGCAACAAAGAATAAAAAGCACTTAACTAATCAAAAGAGAACTTTCACTGTGCTAACTAAATAATGGCTAGTCTTTTTTATTTTTCAAAAGAAATAATACTTAAAATTAGTTTCCTTCCATTGTTTACTTATATAAAACCTACTATTCTATCATTTCCTAAGAAAATATTTTCTTAGGCTACATTTTCCAACTAGGAAATAATTCTAGGACACCCAAACTTGAATTTTGGAATTATAGAGGCTAGACTGATGTCAGATGTGTTTTAGAAATCACATTCTAAATACGAAAGTGTTACATCTGAATTGCAATGAAATGCTGTTCAAGTGTTTCTAAAAACTAAATCAACAAATAATGTACCTCTTTATTAATGTTTTTATAACTTGAAATGTGGTACATGAGACAATGTCAGAGAATCTGTTTATAGCAGCAGCATTGTCACATATTACTAGAAAAGCAGATCAATGTGTTAAGTATATCGCATACTAAATTTTATTTTTAGAATAACCATACAATGGTTCATTTGCTAAGATTTTTCCCCTAAAACTATCATTTTTAAGCTACATCATTCTATTTCCACTTGTGCTGATTCAAAGACAACAAAAAGAAAAATCCCTGAAAATAATATTAACCTCAAAACATACATAATCAAACAAAATGGTTGGATTGCTGTGGCTCAACTTCCCAATTTGTCTTCCAGAAGGCTTCACATTTTCCTTGGTTAGACGCCTACAAGGGGAGAAAAAGGTGGCAGGGATCATCTTAAGTAATTTCCCTTGTAATGTTGGTAGCTTTGTTACATCATGAAAAAAAATTTATTTCCCATATATCCAAAATGAATCCATGTAAACAATCACCCTCATCATATGCTTTACTGCAGGACTTGAGCTATTTTGATTATGCATTCTCCAAGAAGGTATTAAACTTTTGTATTAATGCTTAACATTTACAATAGACACATTTTCATTTTATAGTAATAGTCTCATAAGCATTAAAACTCTTAACGTACTCTACAAGTACATAAAACTCTTCTTACAGAGAATAATTATTTCAGATTTAGAAGGGCTCACTATCAGTTTAGGGATTAAGATAACAAATTTGGTATAATACATTGAAATGCCTCATGTAATCTGTCTTAGTGACCCTAAAAGAATGATAGCCAAGACTGTATTCGATACAGGAAGTTCTCTGATTTTCATACTCAAAGTAATCAAGTCCTGAAAAATCAATTCTACTCTTTCCTTTCTCTTTAATTCACCCTCTATTAAGTATTCTTTTACTAACATTTTGGAAATTTATATCTATGAAATGCTTACAAATTCAAAACAATTATTTCACAGGATCTTAAACTCTTCTGATGAGATTATTACATAATAAATCTAGAAACTTGAAAAAATAACAAGTGACAGCTTTCTAGAATGAAAATATAATGATGCAAATAATGAATTTAGTTGACAGTTCAAGGAATGTGACCATTCTGGAAGTGACAAACTATAATTATCTTAAAAAACTTAAGACAAAACTGATCCATTAATCAAAATTATTTCATCAACAACTGCTTCCCTTTCCCATTCTCTATGCCCAGTTTCTTTTTTTTTTCCCATAGAAAAGAATGACTCATCAGTTTTAAACTTTGGCTATACTCTGTTCCACTTTCAAGCTTACCACCACCTGACCTTACTTCTAACCCTATTTCAGGTAGCCCTCCTACTTGACAAAAACAGCCCTTCTTTCCCATATTTTTTATTTCATTCCTTTCTGTTTCCTCCCTCCACCAAAAAAAAATTATAATAAAAGGAATATTCTCTTGATTATGCCTTCCCCTCAAGCAACTATGGTGCTTGGCATATGGAACACAATCAATGAGCATCTGTGGAATGAATTACTGGATGCCCTATAGAAAATTCATGTTTTAAACAGTAATCAAAACTGGTGAAATTCTCAAGTAATAAATTAATGATTTCATTCTTAACTTTAAAAATTCAATGAATACTAAAATCATATTGTTCAAGGCTAGTGTAACAGTTACAGCTAACAAAAAAATCCAAATACATGAAAAATTCTGCACATATTGTTCTGTGATAAACATTTATATTAATTTACTTATTCATTAATTCATATTAATGTCTTCTATGACGGGCAGAGTACTAATCACTAGAAATACAAGGATGAGTTAACAGTTCCTGCTCTCAAGCTCAGTTCAGCTGGGGGGGTAGATTTAAAACCATTTAAAAAAGTTTTTTATTCATAAACAATTAGAGCAACTTATAGAACATTACGTATTATACACTATCAATAGTATAAAAGGAGAGGGAATAATATATTTATATCTATTTGCATATACATAAAAATATCAAATGATAAATAAGAAACTAAACAGTGGCCACATTTTTTCCCTTGGGAGAACTGAGTGGACAGGGTGAGAGACTTTTTACTGTCTACTTTTTCATATCTACTAAAATTTAAAACATGTGAATGTATAAACTAGAAAAAAAATAGATAATTTTAAAAAGAAAAATAATCATAGCAATATACATAAGCAGTATGATAGTATTTATATGCATATTTAATAGTGGCGGCACAAATAAAGAACAATCATCGGACTTCCCTGGTGGTCCAGTTGTTAAGAATCCGCCTGCCAATGCAGGGGACACGGTTCGATCCCTGCTCCGGGAAGATTCCACATGCCGAGGGGCAACTAAGCCCATGCACCACAACTACTGAGCCTGCACACCCTAGAGCCCGTGCTCTGCAACAAGAGAAGCCACTGCAATGAGAAGCCCGCGCACCGCAACTAGAGAAAGCCCACACGCAGCAATAAAGACCCAGCGACCCAAAAATTAATTACTTAATTAAATTTTTAAAAAATCAATTTTGCTTGGTGGTATATGCAATGGAAGGCTTCACAGAGGTGACACTGGAGCCCACCATCCAAGGGTGAGGTCACCAGATGGAGAGAGGAAAAGAGGTAAGAGAAAACCTGTATGAACAAAAGAAAAAATATATGCAAAGAAAAAGGAGACCATAGCACATTCAGGGAAACATACATGGGGCTCAGTACAGCTAGAGGTAAAACTGACAGGAAATGAGGATGGAAATAGTGAGAGACAGATCATGGAGGTTCTCTTATATCACCATGCCATGAAGTTTGACATATAACCTGCAGGCAATGGTTAGTCACCAAAGGATTTTGAAGAAAGAGAATAATACAAGGCACTATAATACTCCAGCTGAAAGAACTAAGTAAGTGGGGGTAGAGAGTGGAAGAGACAGATTCAATATTTAATACATCATTAAATAATCCATATAAAGCACTTAGTTCCGTGTCCATCACATATAGTAATGGCTTCATAAATATTAGCTATTATTAAGCTAGAAACTCTACTTGGGGAATTCTTAAAACTGGTACTCTTTTGGAAGGACCAGTTCTTATATCACCTCTTACCATGCCTTCCTTTCCTAACTTCCATGAGGTGGAATAATTCATTCTCTTCTCAATTGTCCCAGAGAACTTTATACATGCTGTGTAACAGCTATCTATTAAACCAGACTGTGATTGTGCACACACTTGTTTCCCTAGTAGACTGCAACCTAGGATAATATCACTAGGCAAAGAAAAGTATCACTGCATACTGTTTAATCTAGTTAAACTAGAGAATGCACTACTTCTTATTAGAATAACCATACTACTGCTCGAATGTAAAAGAAATGACAAAAAACAGCCTTGCTGAAAATCCTTGCAATACAGCAGTGTAATTAGTATCTAAACCAGTACTGATTTGAAGTATACAATTTTCATAATTAAACTTCAAACAGTTTACTAGGAATTAGGAAAAACATCACTCTTGTGTTTTTAGTGACATAAAAATAAAGCACACAAATTTAAAAAATGGAAATTTTTCCAAAGTTGACTCCCTAAGGAGATAGTTCTGCATGATTCTACTAGATCTTCCAAAAGGGGGGAAAAAAACTGCTATAACTTTCAGCAGAAATTCCTAGAACTTTGACTATCTTGTACAAGCCATTTGGATGTATTACCCAAATTGAGCAAAGGCCACAGTATGCTCTCCTTTAAAAAAAATCCTATAATATAATGCATCCTATAAAGGATTTTTATACAGTTTGTAGCTATGCAAAATGACAACTACAAAAGCTAACACTGTAGTCAAAACAAGCTAAAAACCACAAAAATTGGGAGTCACTCTATGGGAAGTATATAATCAGCTATACAATTAGTAAATACTCCTGGGCATCCTCAAAACTGAAACTCAGACAAGCTGGCTGAAAGAAAGTAAATCAGATACAGATATTAAGAAGAAAAATAAATTAAAACTTACTTCATGATATATTTGGCTCTGTCTATTGTTTGAGCTTTAACTTTTACTAAAAGTGGATGACTGTTGTAAGTTTCATTCTTCCACTGGCCATACAGACGATATCTTTAAAAATGATGAGATGAAGAATTATGAAAAGTTAAACATTTTGAGGTTAGTGCACTAGAACTGTTTAACTAAAAACAACAAAAATATTATATATTTACCTATGCTGATATGGAAATGTTTTAAACATTCCCCATAGTTCCTCAGACATACAAGCATTGCAGTCCATCAAAGAAAGAGATGGAAGTAATACCTGGTCAGTAATGCTAAGCAAACAGCTAAGGATAACTTCCTAAGAAGAAGGGAAGAAAAATTATTTCAGTAACAGGTGCATATTAATCCCTCTCCCCAAAACAAATTTATGTGAGCCTTGGGAAAATTGCCATTCTTTGATTTCATAACACACCATATCTAATTCCCCACATTATCACCATACTTTTCATAATGTATTTGTGTTTCTCTATCTAAGAAAGCAAATGAGGTGAGGGAAGGAAAGGTGGAGCAAGAATGAGGGACTTTTTATCCCTTTTCCTTTCTTGAACAAGGTAATCCTTAAAAACAGGAGGCTGTCAATCTTAAAAGATACTTTGTATGATAAGCCAAAAGCTATATTCAACATGTACAAGATAGTTATTCACATAGGTGATTAAAGCTTGTTCACAGTAAAATTTGCAGTATGCTGTACCTAGACAAACATTAGACACATTGGACTTTTCTAGTCTCTTACCGTTTTCTCTTTATCTTCTTGTTTGCTTCCATCAGACTGAAACTAAAATTAAAAAAAAACTATAAATAAAATGCAAAAAGGTTAAGATTATGCTGTTGCAACTTCATTTCTAATTCAAAAAAACAACCAACTTGCATGTGGTTTTGAATTCTTTCCTTACTCGTTACTACATACATGTAGATTTTACATATAACCATTATTGCAAATTAACATTTTAAATTCTTATCTATATTTTAACCTTCAAATAATTTGTAACATTCATGAATTTTAAATGCTAGATTTATAAGCCAATTCTTTCCTCAACCTCATTATCACAAACCTACCACATCCTAAAACTGATCTGAATATTTATTATAAAATTGTAGCAAGCTCAATTTGGCTATAATGCATTTACAATTCTCCTTACAGACATTCTAGTTTTCTCCCTCAGATTGGTAAAAATCTACCATCAAAGCAATAACAACAAAAATTAAACTCAAAGAAAATTTAAAGCTACATTTTAATTCACCACTACTTAATCCTTCACCAAGAAATAAGCCCAAAAATATTACTAACATTGCTGACAAAAACCAAACCACTTCCTAACTTAAACAGACTTGAGCAAAATGGCCTGGGTCATTATTTTATCAGTGATTGGCAGGTGGGCTACTAAGTGCCATGTCTGACAATGCTGTCTATTCATTCAAAATGAAATCTTAACATTTGTGTGTGAATATTCAGATGGAGTGTTGTGGAGAGGGTGCAAAGGCCAAAAGGACAGCTGAAGAACTGATACTCAAGGACAATCTAGATTTCTGGAAAGGATTTAGTCCAATATCCAGTGTGAGAAGGGGGAAAGCAAATAAGCAGTTCACATACTTTATTGGTAGAAAAGGATATTTTGTGCATGTGTGTTTTCATGATTGAGTGATTTAATGGGTGTTACATTTTCATATAAGACTCTTTCAGGGACGGTCATATTACTTTGACAGGAAAACAAACACTTTTTTTTAATTGGCAGGGTAAAAAATATGGCTCCCTTTCACAGAAATGATTTAGTCATCAACATATATCCTGGTCAGCAAATAAGGAGTCAAGTTATGAAGAAGTGGCTTGGCAGAAAACAAACTAGATAGTTGCTTTTGTTTTGTTGGGAGGAGGGAGGTAATCCTCATGGCATACTGGGTGTACCCTGGGAGGCAGAAATAAGGGTATGTCATAATTGGAAGAATTAGGTTTACAGTGTATTGTGTTGGGGATAAAGGCAGTTAAGTTACTCTTTTCCTAGTATACTACAATTCAAATGAACCTAAAAAAGCTACATGCAGTTTTCTCCATACAAATAAGATTATTTTCCTAGTTATTAAGCTGTCCTAATTCCCTTACTAGATACTTACATTAGTTTTTAATGTCTATGTATTAATTCTCTGGATTTCACAAACAGGAAAATTTGAAAGAGAGAAAGAAATATGGAAAGCACAATGAAACTATCTAGAAGAACAGTTTCTTAATGTTTCTATCAAAGGCTAGTTGTAACAAAGATGAACAAAAAAGTATCAAGATATATACACAGGTAAAAGTGATTTTCTTTACACATTCCACTTCCTTGATTGTTTCTTTTAGTTTAACTTAATATGTTTTTTAATTCATAGCACATACAAAACTCTCCATTCCCACAAAAGAATACTAAAAGCTTTATTGAATGGTCAGGCAGAAGTGGGAGAAAGGATGGGGGTGGACAAAAGATATTCATTCCTGCATTTGTTTACTATGTTCCAGGCACTGGGAATTCAAAGATGAACAGGAGAAAGTTTCTATCTTTGAGGAACTGACAAAGGTAGTTCTTATCTTTGAAGATCTCTTTAAGATCAAAACTACGCTTACCAATGTACTACTAGGAACTGAATTTTTAAGTCTGAATAAAATTGAGCACGATTATGTCTACACAGACAATAAGCTATAAATGACCCCAAGCAGGTTTCATTCTTGCCCTACAATGACAGAGTAGCTGTCAGGGCTGCATAACAGTACTGAGCACACCCCCACACATACACAAAAAAAACAGGTTCATCAAGAAGGGGCTTTCGGAGAGCTGAAAAATAAAGGTTGGGAGAAGTCACAGATATAACTAGATGAATTAATTTTTTTTATTACTAATGTACTATTTTTAGTACCTCTAACTCATGAATGTTTCAAATACTAAAGTAGTAGCATACTAGAATATACTTTATCTCAGAAAAGGGGAAGAATTAAAAATACTTAAATTTAAGCCTAGATTAGAATTCAAAGCTACATTTAAATAAATCATGGCATTATTTTCAACATTCTTACTTTTCTTGTTCTTATTAGCTATCATTCACTGAGTACTATGTTCCATGGAATGGGCTAAGAACTTCAGATTTGTCTTAACACTACTCTATGAGAAAACCTTTTTGATAGAGTCTAAGTAAGACCCATCACAGTAACTTAGAAATAGGAAAATATAACCTGTAGGTTAAAAGTAATGGGAACCTGAGTTTATCAAGCCTGGAGAAGAGATAACTGAATCGCCTTTCAGTAGAAACTCTTAAAGACTTTACAAAACACTTAGTTAGAAATAACCCCTTAACTTTGATACTACATTATTTATGAAATCACAGGGTAGGATACTAAATGAAAAGTACTATCTTCCACATTTCTTTTTCAGTCAAGACAAACCTCTACTAAGATGCCAAAGAATGTCTAATACGGCCACCCACATACAGGATGACATAAGTGCTGGCTCAGTTTTTATCCCAGGGTAATTTTTAAATATTATCTCTCTTACATACTTTGAATTCTCTTTTCTGAAACTAAACACTGAGGTTCAATTTCAGGAAATAGAGAGGACTTACAATAGTTAAATCAACTGTTTGTTTACAGCATGCATGTGGTCCACACTAAAAATTCTACTTTCTTTTCTTGTATAAAACATATTTTTTAAATTACACTGTTTGAACATAAGAGTCTCCATTTGCCTACTAATAGATTTAAATATCTGCCTCTCCTTGTATGTTTACATACACCTCCCAGGTAAAAAGCATAACTAATGGGAAAAATTAAGATCCTATTTGTAATTTGTTACATAGTAATTTACTACTATGATTCTATACCTTGATTAGAATTGCCACATGAAGATATTCAGTGATAGCTAAAATGACTTGAGTTCAAACCAATTATTATAGGGGATAATACAAACATAAATATTCTAACAGTTTTTCCCTGCTCAGACTCATTAAACAGCAAGGGTATTGTAGATTAAACTTATGCTCCAACTCTAGAGAGCCAATGAGAGCAGTGTCTGTGTCTACTTGGACAATAAGAATTATAATGCAAAGTTCTGATTGTTTTTCAAATAGTTTACAAAATTTGTTTCTATTTTTAAATGGACACACGTCCATAACTACCCTTAACAAGTTCATTAAAACCCAGCAACAAAAATGTCCTCTATTTGAAAAAAATTCTTTGATTATTTATAACAAATTTCAACAACGAAGGGGGAAAAAACATTTAATACTACAATGTAAAGAAGCTAAAGGCATTCCCATATAAAATCTGCTCCTGAGGGAAATGAAACTGCTACCTTAAAGTGGCATCTTATATTTAAAGACAGAAACAGATTAAACTATATTAACACTTTTAAAAATTCATCAAAGATAGTGTAGGGATAGCTGACATAAGTGATAACTTATTATGATCTTAAAAATTCATGACAACTATTTTAAACTCTAAAATTGGATGCATAATTTATTAGAATCTAATTAATGTTTCAGTTCAGTTCACTTCAGTCACTCAGTTGTGTCCAACTCTGCGACCCCATGAACCGCAGCATGCCAGGCCTCCCTGTCCATTATCAACTGCCAGAATCTACACAAACCCATGTCCATTGAGTCGGTGATGCCATCCAACCACCTCATCCTCTGTCGTCCCTTTCTCCTCCTGCCCTCAATCTTTCCCAGCATCAGGGTCTTTTCAAATGAGTCAGCTCTTTGCATCAGATGGCCAAAATATTGAGTTTCAGCTTCAACATCAGTCCTTCCAATGAACATTCAGGATTGATTTCCTTTAGGATGGACTGGTTGGATCTCCTTGCAGTCCAAGGGACTCTCAAGAGTCTTCTCCAACATCACAGTTGAAAAGCATCAATTCTCCAGTGCTCAGCTTTCTTTATGGTCCAATTCTCACATCCACACAATCCACACATGACTACTGGAAAAACCACAGCCTTGACTAGACGGACCTCTGTTGGCAAAGTTATGTCTCTGCTTTTTAATATGCTGTCTAGGTTGGTCATAACTTTCCTTCCAAGGAGTAAGCATCTTTTAATTTCATGGCTGCAATCACCATCTGCAGTGATTTTAGAGCCCAGAAAAATAAAGTCAGCCACTGTTTCCACTGTTTCCCCATCTATTTCCCATGAAGTGATGGGACCGGATGCCATGATCTTAATTTTCTGAATGTTAAGCTTTAAGCCAACTTTTTTTTTCTTTTATTATTTTATTTATTTATTTTTTTCCATTTATTTTTATCTCTCCTCTTTCACTTTCATCAAGAGACTCTTTAGTTCTTCCTCACTTTCTGCCATAAGGGTGGTGTCATCTGCATATCTGAGGTTATTGATATTTCTCCCAGCAATCTTGATTCCAGCTTGTGCTTCCTCCAGCCCAGCGTTTCTCATGATGTACTCTGCATGTAAGTTAAATAAGCAGGGTGACAATATACAGCCTTGATGTACTCCTTTTCCTATTTGGAACCAGTCTGTTGTTCCATGTCCAGTTCTAACTGGTGCTTCCTGACCTGCATACAGGTTTCTCAAGAGGCAGGTCAGGTGGTCTGGCATTCCCACTTTTTTCAGAATTTTCCACTGTTTATTGTGTTCCACACAGTCAAAGGCTTTGGCATAGTCAATAAAGCAGAAATATGTATTTTTCTGGAACTTTCTTGCTTTTTCGATGATTCAGCGGATGTTGGCAATTTGACCTCTGACTCCTCTGCCTTTTCTAAAACCAGCTTGAACATCTGGAAGTTCATGGTTCATGTATTGC